CCATCCCCAGGTCTGTGACTCAGACACAAGGCTGGACCCCATGGCGCTGCTGGAGCTGGTACGGGTGCTGGATGAGGACCCCCGAGTAGGGGCAGTTGGGGGGGACGTTCGGATCCTTAACCCTCTGGACTCCTGGGTCAGCTTCCTGAGCAGCCTTCGGTACTGGGTTGCCTTCAACGTGGAGCGAGCCTGTCAGAGCTATTTCCACTGTGTGTCCTGCATCAGCGGTCCCCTGGGTGAGCATGCATGGGGCTTGGGCGGTGTGGAAGAAGGGAGTCCAAGGGGCTGAGGGCGTATTTGGGGCTGGAGGGTAGACTTGGGATGGGATAGGTTTAGGCATCGGCATGGCTAAGGAGTGAGATGGGGAACAGGTTGGAAAGGGATGTGGAGATTGGGGCTGAGCTTTGGAAGGGATGGCAGAGGCCTGAGGTCGGTGACCGCGTTGGGGGTTTGGGCTGGGGCTGAGCTTCCTCAGCTCAGGCACTGGAATGAGAGAAGACAGATCTACAGTCAGATGGGTGTGGTCTCACAAGCTGCACCCCTCAGTGGGGTTGAGCACAGAACTGGGTCTGGAGCTGTAGCAGGAGGCGAGACTGAAGACTGGTTAGGGGGTGTGAAAGGTGGGGGCTTGGAGGTGAAGATGGGGTTGGGGTGGCCCTGCCTTGGGACCGCAGAGGCTGATATTCTGTGACCCCAACTCTGCCCAGGCCTGTACAGGAACAACCTCCTGCAGCAGTTCCTGGAGGCCTGGTACAACCAGAAGTTTCTAGGCACCCACTGCACCTTTGGGGATGACCGACACCTCACCAACCGCATGCTCAGCATGGGCTATGCCACCAAGTAAGCTGAAGGGACGGGTGGTAGGGTGTGGGGAGGTCACCAAGTTCTGCATGTGCACCAGTGTGCATGTGCGAGTGTGTGCAGGGGTTGGGGTAATCTGCAGGACCATGGGCTCTACCGTGTGAAATGTTGGGAGAAGAGGAAAATACTAAAGGGCTAAGGGACATTGGCATTGAGCTATGTGACCAGCGGACACCATCAGATGAGCCGGGGCGGGGGCAGCTCCGGACTTCCTGGAGGCCAAGGCAGAGAGGGCACTGCAGGTGGAGAGGTGAGAGGGGAAGGATGGGGGGCGGGAGCTAAGGCTAACTGGTAAGCAAAGTGGACACACAGAAAGAGAGGGTAAAGAAGAGAAGGGAGACGGAGGGAGGAAGAAAGAAAACAAAGAAAGGAGGAGGAAGGAGAAAAAGAGAAGGAGAGGGAAAGGAAGAGGAGAGGAGAGAGGTGGAGAAAGAGAAGAGGAAGAAAAAAAGGAGGAAGAGGAGTAAAGTGAGAGACGGGCAGAGGCCCTGATCTCCAGGACATGCTAAACGCTTTAGGAGGAAAAGTGATTCCATGTGACCTGGGGGAGATAAACCAGATCATGTGACATTCCAGGGAGACGCTGTGCAAGACCCAGACAGAACGTGAGAGACACCCAAGGAACCACTGGCCCAAGACAGAGTCAAACCTATGCTCTTCCTTCCTCAGCCTCCCAGTGTGCTAACACTATAAGCCTATGCCACCACGCCCGGCTTCCTGGAGGGCTTGGAGCAGAGGACTGACATGTGACGGCATTACTCTGGCAGCCGTTTTGAGTACAGACTGCCAGGGCCGTCTGGCAGGCAGGCCGCTGTGGATGCCAAGTGGCACCAGGGAAGGGACTGGGACATGGTCAACTGGGGAGAAAGCAGTTCGGCCCCTTCTAAGGATCTGACTGCTGGTGGCCCTGTGATTTCCACAGACGGAGTGTGTATAGACTGTGTGGTGGACTTGGCCTGACACAGGCATCATGGATGCCCCCCCCCACGGCCACAGGAAGGGGTTCCCTAGAAAAAGACTGACGCATGGTCCACTCTAACTAGTAACCGCCCCCAAGTCCCACGCCTCACGGCAGGACCTGCCAGGAACAGTAAGCACAGCCGTGTTAGTAACAGCCAGGTCACCCTGAGAATGTTAGCAACGGAGAGTTATGGTGTTAGTCAGGCTGACATCACAGGAGCTGACGTTTATTGAGCAAGTACTGGACCTGGGCCTAAGCTCTTGGCATTTAATGCAAGCCCCGCGGTGACCCTCCCAGATCTGCTTCCCTCCCTTCCTCCCCTCCTTTTCTTTCTCTAAACCCTCTGTCTCTCCCCCCCCCACTCTTCTGTTCTTTCCCTTTCTGCCTCCCTTCTCTCTCCTCCTCTTCCCTTTTTTCTGTTTTCTCTCCCTCTCCACCCTCTTTCTTTTTCTCTTCTTCCGTCCTCTCACTCTCCCCTTCCTTTGTCTTCCCTTTTTCCTCCTTCCTTCCTCTTTTCTTGCTCTCTACTCCCTTCTCTTTCTCCTCTTCCTTCTTTCCTTCCCTTTTTTCAGGGCTGGAGATTGAATTCAGGGCCTTTGTGCTGAGCTACAGCTCCAGACCACTTTCATTTTTTTCTAAGTTTGAGACAAGTCTTCTCTAAATTGCCCAAGTGAGACTCAAACTGGAGATCCCCTTACCTCAGCCTCCCAGAGCAGACCAGCACTTTGACACATCCTGTTTTAGATGTGGGGAAACCAGAGGCCCGGAGAGGTTAAGCGGCTGACACCACGGACGGGGCGGGTGCCCAGAGACTGGGCCCCTGACCCCTGCGACCGGCCAGGGAGAAGCCCCTGACCCTGGGTCCTGTCCCCGCAGGTACACCTCGCGCTCCCGCTGCTACTCAGAGACCCCCTCGTCCTTCCTGCGCTGGCTCAGCCAGCAGACGCGCTGGTCCAAGTCCTACTTCCGCGAGTGGCTGTACAACGCGCTGTGGTGGCACCGGCACCACGCGTGGATGACCTACGAGGCGGTGGTGTCCGGGCTCTTCCCGTTCTTCGTGGCGGCCACCGTGCTGCGCCTGTTCTACGCGGGGCGCCCGTGGGCGCTGCTGTGGGTGCTGCTGTGCGTGCAGGGCGTGGCGCTGGCCAAGGCGGCCTTCGCGGCCTGGCTGCGGGGCTGCGCGCGGATGCTGCTGCTGTCCCTCTACGCGCCCCTCTACATGTGCGGCCTGCTGCCCGCCAAGTTCCTGGCGCTGGTCACCATGAACCAGAGCGGCTGGGGCACCTCGGGCCGGCGCCAGCTGGCCGCCAACTACGTGCCGCTGCTGCCGCTGGTGCTCTGGGCGCTGCTGCTGCTGGGTGGCCTGGTGCGCAGCGTGGTACAGGAGGCCCGGGCGGACTGGTGCAGCCCCGCGCGGGTGGCCGAGGCGTGGCACCTGGCGGTGGGCGCAGCCGCCTACCTGGGCTACTGGGCCGTGATGCTGGCGCTATACTGGGTGGGCGTGCGCAGGCTGTGCCGGCGGCGGGCCGGGGGCTACCGCGTGCAGGTGTGAGCGCCTGCCGGCCCAAGGACCCGGGGGGCCAGGTGCCACGGACGCCCCTCTTCCCTGGAGAGTCTGGGCCTCAGTTTACCTCCTCGGTGAAGAGAGCAGCAGACCCAAGGCGCGGCAGTCTGGACTTCGGGGCTGGGACTGCCAGGGAGGGGTTATTTATTGGTAAGGGTGTGGGTTTTAGGATGGTGGAAAGGATCCCACTTCCACCCTGTTCTTATTTAATGTCTATTTGTACTGTGATTAGGATGTAATAAAGAATTTATTTATTTTCTTCTGAACTCGTCTGGTTTTCTGAGCACTTGGGTGGATGGTGGGATGGGGGTGGGGATCCTCCCTGATTGAGCCCCGAGGACTCGGCTCAGACTTGGGCACTGGCTGTCTGAAACTGGCCTTTGCAGGACCCTAAGTTCCCTCTTGGGGAAGCAGGGATATTCATCCAGGCTTGAATTATGCAGTTCACTCACATGCCTTTGCAGAGCATTGGCCACCAGCCTGTGGGTGACGGCACTGGCCAGATCCCTCCAGGCTTAGCTGAGAAGCCTGAAGCTTCCTTTTCTCCACCTTCTGGCCTCTCTCTGAGCAGGCATCCAGCTCAATGAGAAGAGGTTCCAGGGAGAAAGCTTCAGAGTCCCCAGCAGCACAGCTCACCTCTCACGCACACCTCTCCCCTTGGCTGAGCGCAAACAGTGTGGGAGGAACCAAAGGCGTCCCTCACTGTGACCCCAGGGCCGATTTCACCCTCCGTGCACTGAGGTCTCTGGCCCTGCATTTCCCTAGAAGAAGGCTCTTTCCCATGAGCACCTTAATGTACTTTTTTTTTTTTTTTTTTTTTTTTTTTGTCTTTTGAGACAGGGTTTCACTGTGAAGTTCAGGCTGGCCTCAAACTCGAAGTGATCCTCCTGCCTCAGCCGCCCAAGTGCTGGGATGATGGGCATATATTTTTCACATCCTCTCCCGACCTGATTCCCCTTCTTTTCTTGTTAATAGCAAGATTTGAGAGCTGCTGTATTTGTCTCCAATATGTCTCCCATGAGGCTCACCCTTCCTTTTTTTTTTTTTGTATCTTTGTACCGGGGATCAAACTCACCACCTCACACTTGCCAGGCAGGTGCTGTGCCCCTGAGCTACATCCCTGGCCCGGCCCTCTTCAAATATGCAACAGAGTAATTTCTCATGTTTATAGATCTGTGCAGCCATTGGGATAATTTAAGTTTGGGACCTGTTTCATCACCCCGTGCCCACTGATGATCACTCCTTATTCCTAATCTTACCATCCCTCCAAGACCTAGCCACCCATCTGCTCCCTAACTAACGTTTCCCTGTTCCACAGATTTCACATAGGTGGAGTCAAGCACCATGTGCTCTCCTGTGACTTTCATTTAGTGTGATGTTTTGCAAGGTTCATTCATGTTGTTCTGCTGATCTCATTCATTCCTTTTTGTGGCCAATATTCCATAGACAGATTGCATTTTATCTACCCACTTACCAGCTGATGGACCATGGATACTTCCACTTTGGGACCATTATGAACATTTGTGCACCAGTTTTTCTACGGACAGATTTTTTTAGTTTTCTTGGGTTTGGTGTTAGTTTTCTACTCCTAGACAAACACATAACACACACAACTTAAAGGGAAAAAAGTTTTATTATTGCTTCATGGTTAGCTGACTCCAAGGCAGAAAGAGCATGGTAGTGGGAAGTGGCCCATCTCATGGCACCCAGGAAGCAGAGAGCAGGAGAGAGAGAAGATACACCCTTCAAAGGTGTGTCTCCAGGGACTCCAGCTTCCTACAGCCTACCCAGCTGTAAGCTCATTAACAGATTGGTCCACTGACCACCAGGTTAGGACCCTCTAATTCCATCTGGGCCCCACTCTGAACGTTGTTGTGTTAGGAATCAAACACTCAAGTTGTTGGGAGCACTTTGAATCTGCTGTGTATCTAGGAATGCAAGGGGTGAGGCCCAGTCAGAAAATCAAAGACTAGAAGTCCTGACTGCAAGCCCAGAGTATGGGTGGGCTTACCGGGTCGCAGTAAGAAAAATGTGAGATGTCTGTCCCCAGGTCCAAACACCCTGTAACTTGCCATGTACATGGATGATGGGAGGATCTGACAGAGCTCTTAAACCCTTGGAATTTCCTGGGTGATGGGGATACGACAGAATCTTAGAGGACTCCTGCATGGGGGCTGGACACCAGCAAGATTAAGCTAGGTGCTTGGAGCTTTCAGCCCCAACTACTATCTGTGGGGAATAGAGGGGACTGGAGACTGACAGACACTGACCATGCTCGTATCATGAAGCCACAAAGCGTGGGGCTTGGAGAGCTTCCAGGTTGGTGACACATCCACATCCAAGGATGGTGGTTCTCCCCCGCTCCACAGGGGCACCCCAACAGTCCTCACCCTGTGGACCTCTTTATCTGGCTACGAACATTCCCTGTTGTTATGGATTAAAAACTGGTGGTCAACTTAACACCAGCTGGATTACATCAGCATGGTTCTGAGCATAGATGTCCACATGAGGAAAGTTGCCAGCATAGACATGGAGACGTGGAGAAGGGGATGGAGGCACATTGATATGTTGAAGCATCATGGGTTCTCCTATGAGTTGTTTGAGCCGTTGGTTCTCCTGGAGGAGCTCTGGTCCTCACATCAAGCATTGCTTCTTGGCTCCGGAGGGGAAGCTTGGTCTCCAAGATGAACCCATCACATTGGCTTCCTGGCGTGTACTCAACTGTGCTTATTGTTGGAGGAACTCGGGGCCTCCGAGTCACTGAGGATGGGTGTGGTGCTTTTCAGGACAGCCCTGGTCTTTATTATGAGTGCGAGTTCTGGCTCCAGCGTAAAACCTCAACCTACAAGCACAGCTCCTTCACTCCGCTGGTATGGACTTTCTAGATTTCACTGCTGACCTTTCAGCCTTCCCAGCAAAGATCCATAAAATGGACTTATGTGAGTCCTTCTTGTGGGCTCTGGACCTCCAGCTGGACTTGTGGAAGGCATTGTCATGAGCTCTGGGTTTTCATCAGGACTCACGTAAGACATTGCTGTGGGATTCAGGCCCTTGGCTGAACATTCTGTGTCTTTGGTGTTGTGGACAGATTTCTTGCACTTTCTTGTGTTAACTCTGGGCGATCATCAAAAATATTATAAACTCCATATCCTGATTCTAATTGTTCTCCTGCAGAACCCCTGACTGCAACACCTATACAATCTCCTTTATAATAAACTGCCAAATGTCTCATGGAGTCCTGTAATCATTCTTGCAAATTACTGAACTGGAAGTGGGGGTGGGCTTCCAGGACCCCTACTTTCGTAGCCAAGCTGGACATTAGTGAGGGTAACCTGGGACCCACTATTTGTGATTAGTATCTAATGGGACAACAATCTTGTGAATATGAGCCCCTAAACCCTTACAGCTGGACACGAGCATTGATGATTGGTATCAGAATGAAATTATAAGCACTCAACTAGTGTCCAGAGAGTTGGAGAATTAGTTGGTAAGGCCAAAACAACAATAATAATACCAACAAACACTACTACAAAAACAGCACTAAATTGTGCACTTTGGTGTCAGGAGTATCGTGAGTAGAGAAAGTCTTCAACTGGAATCTAAATTTAGTGAGAGGCCAGATTGTTTTTCATTCTTCTAATTTTTCCTTACTGGTTCTAGAGTGCTCCAAAAAACACCTGGCACATAGTACATGCTCAGTAAATCCATGCTCAGTGACTTGAAGTTCATAGCGGGGAACAGGAATGAACCTGTGCTCAGCAGCATCACTTTGGGAGAGATGACAGACCCCATAAAAATAGTTTTGAACAGCAGTGCACCCAGATGAGTTCCAAGCACAAGCTGAAGGGGAAGGGTCTCAAGCAGTCACAGGGGTGGAGGGCAGTGGAGGAAGATAGTGTTTGGGCTGTAGGCTGGACAGTGACAGTAAGGTGGGTTCCTGGAGTTCAGAGATGCTTTTCAAGAGCCAAGAGCATCGCAGGCCAAGGCCTGGGGAATGGGACAGGCTTTGCACCTCCAAGGGACTACAAATGGAACCCCGGGGGCTGAGAGGGTAGCACGGGGGCTGAGAGGGTAGCACAGGGACTGAGCAGAGGTACAATAACAGAATGCTAGGCTCAATAGCTGTCATGAGGATTGATTAAGACATGTAATGGCTGCTTGAGGAAAATCATAATTAAAAATGAAAAAAGAGAGAAAACATCATTCGAGGCAAAACACAACATGCACCAAGACTCTGAGGACAGTGCAAAGAATCACAAGGAAGAAGAAAAAGCCAGAAAAACTGCAGGATAGGAAGATGATGTCTCTGCCTTGATCTCTGGGAGCGCTGAGGCCAAGAAGGTCAGCCAAGGCTGGAACCTGGAGACCCCTGGAGCCCTGGATCAGGACCAGGGTTTTGCTCTGGTGCCAGAAGGAGTCACTGAAAACCAGGGTGCAAAGGAAGTGACCCACTCTGACATATTCTAAGAAATGACACGCAGCCCTGGACAGCCAGCAATGCAGTCCCAGGGGTCAAAACGTTTAACTTAATGATGTGATACTTAGCAAGAGTCTCCTGGAGTCAACTGCACTATGACAGACCCTGCAGATGGCATGGGTGACAGAGGTTGGAGTGGGTAACAGCAGAACACTGTGTATGGGAAGGTGCTCTGCGGTGCTAGGTATCGGACGTATCTGTCCTACACTCCAGACATGACACACACATGATATTTGGAGAGTAAAGCACAGTCACTAACAACAGCATTCTAGTCTCCCTGCAGGGGTGTGTGTGCCCTGGACAATGTACATCTCTGAATACTAAGCAGACATTTAATCATTCTGATTTATGAAGCCTGGGCTTATGTTGCTTTATAAAATTCCTTAATAAGTACAAATATTTTAAAATACTTAAAATATTTAAATACAAACATTTTTAAAAATATTTAATATTTAAAATTATTTAATAAGTGCAAATCTTTAAAAATATACTTAATAAGTACAAATATTGATTAAAATGATTTAGTAAGTACAGATACTTAAAAAATAAGTACAAAATATATTTTAAATGTAAAAAGTACAATTATTTAATAAGTACAAATATTAAAAATATTTCAATAAGTACAAATATTCTTTTAAAAGTCTTATTATTTATATACATTAACCATAGTATGTGGGGCACACGGCTGTAATCTTAGCACTTGGGAAGCTGAGGCAGGGGGACTGCTGTGAGTCTGAGGCCAGTCTGGGCTACAGAGCTCAAGGTCAGCCTGAACTGCACAGGGAAACTCTGTCTCAAAAAGACAAAGAAAAAAAAAACCCGAAAAATCCATAGTCTGTATTTTGGGAACGGCCCAAGATAGTTCCTCCTCATCCTGTGGCCCAGGCAAGCCAAAAGGCTGGACAGCCCTCCTGTGCAGTATTGCTCAGCTCTGCAGAGAATGACCTACCGGGGCCCAAAGCCAAGCAGGGCCAGGGAGGCGGTGGGAAAGCTGCTGTGGTGATCGAGACACCACATGGGATGACTGGGTCCACAGGGCCGAGAGTTAGGAAGGTCACCTGGCAGTGGATCAAAGCTGAGAGGAAGTCATACATGACTCAATACTGTCTGAGCTGTGGGTGCATGGCTGTGGAAGGACGCCTGGCTTGAGGGCGACATCTGGGTCTGAGGGTGTCTCCTACATAAGGACATAGTGGGGGGCTGCCAGAGATGCAGGAGGGGAGAGACTGGAGCCTGGAGGCCTGAGGTCTGGCCCTGCCTGTTACCTGAGCCCTGCAGTGGCCTGAGCCTGTCTGACACACTGCTGGTCGCCTTCTCAGACCCCGAGTCACCTCCAGAAGTCAAAGAACCCGGGGCTGAAATATACTCTTTATTTCAGGAGTGAAAGCAGGATAATGTTGAGGTACCTTTGTTAGTCGCCACTCAAGTACCATCGACAGAACATCCTGAGGAAATAAAGAGGTGTGTGCGTGGGGCGGGGGCGGGGCGGGGCAGAATTATAGGCTCTGGAGCCTGGATCTCAAAGATGATAGGACTTGGACTCTCAGGTCCGAGGGAGGAAGCCGGGCAGGGACCCCCGGGCCAAAGGGAAGGCTGCAACCTGGGTCTGAGGTGGAGCTGCGAGCGGGACTCACCACAACAGCACCGTCGCTGTGGCAGACACGAGGGCAATCACAGCGGTCAGCAGGACCAGGTTGCCCAGCGTAAGGGCCTCTGGCCGGGCCAGCAGCTCGTCCAGGCTGGGCCTCCAGGGCTCGATCATTTCCACGTCCCGCGGCGCCCAGCGCAGCACTTTCCGGAAAACCACCTGCAGCTCAGTTTCCCCGCGCGGGGGCGGGCCAGTCACTGCAGGGCGGGGCGCGCGTCAGCCCGGTCGTCCCAGCCCCTCCCCGGCCCCGCCCCCTCCGGCCCCGCCCACACCATTCAGGAAGAAGTAGAGGCGCGCCAGGGGGCGCTGGTCATGCTGGATCACGCAGCAGAAGGTCCCGCGGTGCGTGGGCTGCACCGGCCGGATGCGCGCCAGGGACCCGCGGGCCCGCGGCATGTCGCGGAAGTAGGACGCGTCCCGAGTCCGGAGCTGCGGGTCAAGGGAGCGAGTTCACCCGGGCCAAGTCCTAGAGACGCTAACCAGCCTCGAGCTCCGCCCCCAGGCAGCCACGCCCTCCAGAACCCCGCCCCCAACCCTGCCCCCCCCCCCCTACTCCTTAAGCCCTTGGTGTCCCAGACCTCATCAAGCCCTGGCCGAGTTTTGAGACCTCACTTGTCTCTAAGCCCGGGGGATCCCCTTGCAGGAAGCCTGTGTTTACACCCATCTTCCAATGATCACCCCTGGAACATGAGCCCGTTTAGCCCCGTGGTGCCTGCCCAGCCCCTCTACACTCCGCAGCCGGTCTACACCCTGCAGCGGACCCGCCCCGACTCACACCTTGGGCGAAGCTCCAGGAGTACGTTATCTCTTCCTTCGGCAAAAGGAAGCCTACCACGCAGGAGAACAGGGCCTGGTCGCCGCGACTCACCGTCATATCCTGCACTGAGGACACCAGGTGGCACCGATGACTCTGCTCCCATCCCGCTCTTCCCGGGGCGGGGCCGGCCCCCTGCGCCCTCACCTGGACAGTCCAGCGGGAGGTCGCACAAGGTGGAGTAGCAGCCCTGGCAGCGGAAGCGCCGGGCGACCTCCTGGATCCCTGTGGGAGAGGACATGGGGCTGGACTCCATGGCGCCCACACCCGTGTCCCTTAGTCCACTGGGAGCTGAGTCCGCTTGCCAGTGTCATTGTTTAGATGCTCTGGGGATCCCCATTAGTTGACCTTGGCTCTCGGACCCGCCCTCTAAGCACTACCTAACCAGGTAGTGCTTATTTTCTGTAAGACTCCTAGAGGCCTCCAAATCGGAGGCCCACCCACCCATGCTCTTCAACTCAGACCGCCTCCCTTGCCCTGATTTGGGATTAAATCCTTACCGCAGGGAGGGACGCAGGGTTGTACTGCGGAAAGAAAGGAAATGTCATTACCCTCAAAGCCCCGGGAGGGTCCCTATGGAAAGGGCCCAAAAGATGTCACCAAACCCGACACCTCCAGAGGGGCAGAACCAGGCCCGTAGCACCCTCCCCAGGGGCGGGGCCGGGGAAAACAGCGCCCCTCCCAGGGCGGGGCCAGGTCCGCTGCGCTCCTCCTAGGGGCGAAGCCAGGGCCTAAACGCTCCTCCTAGCGACGCCTGTGAGGCGGGGCCAGATCCAGAGTGCTCCACTAAGAGGTCAGGCAAGCTCAAGCCATCTCTGGGGAGTGTAGGGGAGCCACAAGAACATAGGATGTCCCAAGAATGGTGGTAGCTGGACAGGAAAGATGCCAAAGGGCCGGAGCCAGATGCAGAGAGATTCAGGACGAGTTAGAATTCCCCTGTCCAGGACTCCAACTCTGAGCATTTTCTAATAAGGGTTCTGTTTTACCTTTTTTAAGCTCCAGAATGGCCCTCTTCATTTTTTCCGCAGCAGCAGGAAAGGCAACCTCAAAGGACCCTGGAGGATGGAGTGGGCCCTGTAAAACCAGCCCTAGCCTGTGACTGGCTCCGGACTCACCATCACGGTGTCCACCCATTCTGCACTCTGAGGACTCTCATTACCACAGCTCTCTTCTCCTCAGTGCTTCCTCCTGCAGCTTAAGTCTCTGCCAGGTGGAAGCCCTCCACTACATATGCCTTTATCTTAGGAGAAAAGGAAGGATAACCATCAAATTCCTCACCCAGACAAGTAGGGCTTCTAGGTGGCTGACCTACTTCCGTCTTCCTCTCTGTTGCATCCTTCTACCCATTTTCATTTCCCTTCAGACAAAGAATCACATTCCCTAGCACCTCAGGGCCTTTGCATGTGCAGACATCCATTGGGAGCACGTCTTCCCCTACTCTTAAAGTCACCCTCCATGTCTTAACCTCATGTCCCTTCCTTAAAGGTCTTCCAGCACCACAAATCTATACTCTAATCCAGTTTTTCTCTCATAGTACTCGATTCATTTCAGGTACATCTCTCCCCAGTTTGCACTTATGTGTCTATGTATGTGGATATTTAAGTCCATCACCCAGGTAAATATGTCTTTCTTTAGCGCCAGAACTCAGAGCTCGCTTAGAAAGAGTTCCATAAATATGCAAAGCATGAATTCCAGAATCCAACTGGAATTGGAGCCACAAGGCGAGACCCAGGGCTCAGATCCATCTCTTGGATGTGTTATATTTGGCCTGAGAAGTGTTTTTTCTTCTTCTTTTTTTAATGAACTGGTTGCCAGCAAATAAAATCTGGGAAGGTCACATAAAATGTTTGGCATGTCTTTAAAAAAATACTTTTTTTCTTTTTTGAAAAAGCGGTACTTCAGATACCATGTTGCCCTAAGGCAGTAATTAGCTGGAGCTTGGTGGCATCGACTCCCTTTCAACAGGGCACATGGGCCATTGCTCTGCACCCCAACCCCAAGGCTTGTCCTTTCTACTCCTCCTTCCTCCTTTCTGTGCTCTGTCATGGTCTCTGAGTTCTGACCCCTCCATGGCCTCCAGTCTGTAGCATTTCAGAGAACAAGACCAGAGGCACTTCTGGAAATCAGACGTACAGCATGGTGGCATCACCAGGGTGTGGCAGGGTACAGATCCTTTCCTCCAGCCTGAGTCACATGCTGCGTTCTAAGCCCCAGTGCCTCAAATGTGACTGCATTTGGAGAGCGGGCTCATCTTAATGAGGTGATTATGTTAGCACAAGGCCATCATGATGGGCTCCAGTCCAGCCTGACTCCCAGGATGACCAGTCTCCTTATAAGAGAACGACACTGGGGCACAACCACAGGGAGACACAGGGAGGCAGCAGCCATCTACAGGCCAAACAGAGGCCACAGAAGAAACCAGTCCTGCCCGCCCTTACTGACACCTTGATCTTGAATTCCAAGCCTCCCAAACCATGAAAAAAATGACTTCTATTGTCTAAGGCCCCCTGATCTATGACATTTTGTTGCAGCCACCACCTTCAAACAGGTAACTTTTCACTTTGGTAACACAACACTGTGCACCATCTGAGAAAATGCTTCCCTCTTCTCCCAGCTAAAAGATTTCATTTCTAGACCTCAGTTAGGGTCACGTGACCAAATTAGGAATGGGAGTGGCGTATGTGAACCATCCAGGCAGGGGCCGCGGGTCCCCAAAACTTTGGAACCACCACTTTGCCACCCAAGAAGGTTATTAGCAACAGAGAGGCTAAAGTTCTCAGTGTTCTGGGAGGCTGATGATACAGGGGGGTTGCAAGTTTGAGCCTGGCTTGGCCACTTAGTAACTTAGCGACATTTTGTCTGGGGAGAAAAAAAAGAGACTGAGGATGTAGTTCAAGGTGAAGTCCTACTCTGCTGCACCCCCAAGCTATCCCCCCCCAAAAAAGCATGGCTGAGGGTTGCAGCATTGATACTGGGGATGCACTTGGAGACAAAGACCACTGAAGCCAGCAGGGGCTTCCAAAAGAGTCGTCAAGGACTCAGAGGTCTGTCCTTGGCCACAGAGCAGGAGTGTGGTCTGCAGGCGGCAGGACGGCCAGGAGGATGTGGTTAGAGTGGGGCGCTCAAATGGAAGGCCACAAGGCTGGAAGTCTTTGAAACCTCGATGGGCCAACCCTGATGACTCACAGGAGGGCGAGTGCGGACTGCACCATGTGAGCTGAGGTGTCAAGCGGGCTGGCGTTGGAGCGGGAATGGATTGAAGTGTGCAAAATGCCAAACTATGGGTTATACCACTGAAAAGAAGGCACGGGATGGTGTTTTAAAGTCCCACCCACCCTCCGACCCACCCAAGAGCAGCATAAAGCTTGAAGCATCAGCCTCGGCCTAGATTGCCTGGATGTTGAGTCCTGGTGCATCTACCTATAAGCACACCTGTCCCTTGCACAGCTGAGGAACAGGTTGCAAGCCCTCCTCCCTACGTGATCCTCTGCCAGATGACTTAACCTCCTGATCCTCTGTCTCTACATTTATAATATGGGGACCAGCACAGTGTCTCGCTCCCATGGCTGGGGAGCAGGTGTTAAATGCCACACGACATAAAAGCATCCTGATCCTAAATCACCCTTTGGGCCTGGCCTGAGATTAGTTCTCCCAGCCCTTAGCAAGATGGGCCTCACACGTACACACTGTGGTTTTGTAGAAGTAAACTGCTAATGCGACTAGTTTCCAAATGTGAGACGGGGACCCCCAGACATCAATCAGTTAGGGAAGTGGTCTGAACTACACCTGAAGCCGGGCTCAGAGCCTCCATGCCCAGTCCTCCACTCACTATACTGCCCTCTTTTTCTATAAAGGCTGAGTATCCCTTATCCTAAAACCTTGAGACCAGAAATATTTCAGATTTTTGGACTTTTGAAAGTTTAGAACCTCAGAGAATTCAGGGATGGAACTCGTTTCTCAATGCAAACTGCCTTTATGCTTCATAAGCACCTTCAACACAGAGCCCAAAGGTCATTTCACATGGCATTTTGAGTATGGGCTCTGTCACGTGGTCCCTGGACCGCAGCCTGCCACAGGAGGCCAGGTGTGGGGTTGTCCACTTGTGGAGTCTTGTTGCTGCTCACAAAGTTTCAGATTTTGCAGCAATTCAGATTTGAGGCTCCGGGTAAGAGATGCTCAGCCACACCTCCTCTCCGTGGTTTATACACAGATGATACTACCTGTGGCCTCCCACAGGCAGCAAGCAACTGTGTCCACTGGCCCCTCTCTCCCACCCTCCATCTGGAGAGACCAGGATGCCACCCTTCCTTCTTCCCACCGCTCTGGTCCAGCATCAAAGGCAGCCCATCTCCAAACATCTCCAAGGTCCACCCTTCCGGTCCAGCTGAGCCCAGCTTTCTCACCTGGGAAGTGGGGCTCTAACCCCACCCCATGGGGTGGGTACAAGGTGCCCTTAAGAAGCATAATGTGTCCATAGCTGGGGCACAGTCAATCCCTCAAAATTCCTCTTCTGTCCTCCTACACCAACCTCTACCCCCAGACTCATCTTGGCTGAGCTGGATCATTGTGACTGGCTCAGTCACCTCCTGTGGACTCCTCACTGGTCTCCTGGCTTCTTCCTGAGCCCTCGTGACTGTCCCAGGAATACTGTCCAAGCAATTAACAGAGGGCAGGCCCAGATCTCTATGTTAGCAAAACTTCCGAGAGATGTAATGGCCACTGGGGCTTGCAAACCCCTGGTACCTATGCACCGATACCACAGTCCCTCGTCACCCCTCCACTGTCATCTCCATTCTGACCCACTGACACCAGAACCTTTGCACTGGCTCATCTTTGCACCCAGGCCCTTTGCCCACATTATTGGGCTCTCACCATCACCTCGCTCAGGTCTTTGCTCCACTGGACCTTCTCATTTGCACCTTGTCAGATCAATCTATTTTAATTGCCACCCCATCTCCTTCTCCCATTTTCCTCCACAGTACAGATCACCATCTGAAACCCTAAACTATTGTGAATCTCATGCCCAATGCCCAGACAGGAAACTGGCAGATTTGGTCTCAGCTGTGCTCCCAGTGGGGTTCCGGCCATGGCCATGGCTACGGCCAATAACCGCGGACTGACCTATTACACCAGCTCCTGCTGGCCTCTGATGAGCCTGGCACCCCAATGTCCAGCTGGCCCCCCATGCCCAGAGCACCCATACAATCACTACACTCTAACCTGCCTCATACTTGGGCTCTGCTCTGGCTCAGCTCAGGGATGACTGGAATGCAGCCCTCGGTGCCCTGGAGCCAGGCCCCAGGCACTGTCCCCTCTCCAGCAGCCCCCCAGGCCTAGGCCTCAGCCCCTCTCCAGTCCCTCTCCATCACCATAGCCCCGGCCTGCTGCAGGGTTCTCCAAGTCCAGCCCCCACACCCAGATCCACACCTCATCCCTGGCCTTTTCAAAGCCTGCATGGGAAGAAGGGTGTCTCCCAAACCCTCAGCCTCTCCTCCTTCCAGCTCTGGGGATGCGCAGGTCTCCCTTTGGGGCTGAGGACCCCCAGCTGAAGTCCTACTCCAGAACGATAGAAACTTCTCTCCCTTTGTAGAGTTTTAACATAAAGTGTGGTGGCAACAAAAGAAACCCATGCAGATACAGAGCTTCAGACCCATCAGTGGCCAGTTTATTCCTAAAATCAGGGCCCTGTGTCAGGGTCTCCCTGAAGCCCACTGACCCCACTACAGAGCAGCTCTTGGGCACTGCTGGGGATCTGGGCAGGGTGGCAGTGGTGACTAGGTGTGATGACTGTCACCTGCTGTGCTCACACCACCCCTGATGACCTGTGTCCCACACAATGGCTCAGCTGCCCACTCTTCCAGGCAGTACACGTGTCCTGCCGGCTAAGGCTGGCGTGCAGGCCTGCCCCAGTGGGAGTCTGGACCTGTCCCACCTGCATAGCCTTTACCTCGGCAATCACTCCAGAGTTCCTGCCTGGTTCCCTGTCCTCTAACTGCTTTAACCACAAGGACACATGCACATGTCTGTCTTGTCCTCGAGTAGGCCACCCACTTCATCAGATGGGCAAACTGAGAGCAGGTAACCTCAGTCACAGTCAGTCTATGTATGCAAGACCCTCTCTGCCCGGGGCACGGACTCCAGCCCATTCTTCCTCCCACCCTCACCTCCTCTCCACCCTCAGCGACCCCACTCGCCTCTGTCCCTGTCCTGGCGAGCAACCTGGCAATGTAACCCCTCCAAAACCACCACCCAAGCCCAGAGCCCCACCCCCCTAGTCCTGGGGTTGCTGAGCCCCAGCTCCAAGAGACACTCACCCCCGGCAGCAGCCTCCTCCTGCAGGGACAGGGTCATCTGGGTGAAGTTGTCATGCAGGTGGCTTCTCTCCTCATAATCTGAGGGTGGGCGAGGAGCAGGGGCTAGGGAGGCAGTGCCATCCAACACCAGGGCCCAAGGGTGGCACCCGGATTCTCAGAGGAGGCTCAGCCTAGAAGCCCCCGGCGCCCTGTCTGTAACCCTGGCCTCTCTCCACCCCTCTCCGTTCCCTGGGCCTCTCCTCAATCTCCAGTCCCTCCGTGGATGCTGCCCGGTCTCTTTGAGGTCTGAAGTGGCCCTCACTGTCCTTGAGTTTTCTTCCGAGTGTGTCTATCTGTCTGTCTGTCTGTCTCCCTCACTCCCCCAGTTTCCCCAAGCCTTGGTGGCCCCTCCCCAGGTCTGTGTAATCCTCCTCACTGATCTCCATGTCCGAAAGTCCCTGAAAGGCGGCAGTGAGGGCTTCCTTGCACTGGTCAATCCGGGGGCCCTGCAGCCCAGCAAACATCCTGCAGATGCTGACACGCTCGGTGTAAGTCGTGAAGCACAGGAGACAGGCCCACGCGGACGCCCTGAGCACCAGCAGGGCCCGCAGACCAGATGGGACAGCACTCGCCAGGCGTAGCAGGGCCATCAGAGGGTCTCAAGGCCTGGGAGAAGCGGATGACCTTTGTGAGGTCACTGCGGGTGGGGGATGGGCCAGGGGCCTGGGGTCAGAGGTCAGAAGTGAGGCTCAGGAGGATAGCTTTGGTCCGGGGCTGGCCTCTAAGCCCTAGCTATGTGGTTGTGGTCAGGCCAGACGCCAGGCTCCCAAGAACCTCACCTGTGACCCTGGATGTCCTCACAGGTTAAAGGGTCTCAGGGACCCAGAGACCGGCGGCAATGCAGAGGCTCTGACAGGCCCTGGTTGGGGGTAGGAACAGAGACAGAGGCAGACACAGGACATTCTCAGGTGCCAGAAAGCTACAAGAAGTCAGGAATAGACACAGAGAATAGACACGGAGAGCCACGGGGAAGTTCCAAGACAGCAGCCAGGGGCAATGTGGTCCAAGACAGATGCAAAAGCCACGGGGACTGGAGAGGCAGGGCGTGCAAGGGACACAAGAAGCTGGACCAGGGTAGAGGAGCTAGGCCAGCCCCGGCCAGGATCCCCGCCGCCCTGTCCCGTGCAGGGCGCAGCCTGGGGAAAGCTAGGAGGCCGTATAGTGATCTCCTTGGGTGTCCTTCTCAACTATACAACCTCCTACCTCAGCCCGGGGGGCGCGGCAAGGTGGACAGATCGGACAGATGGACAGACGAGGGGGGGGGCCGGGGAGGTCCCAGCCGCGATGATGAGCCCCCGACACGGACCCACAGACACGAGCTTGTGTGTGGCGAAGGCCCCGCAAGGTCGGTTCTACGGGTGGGTGCCAGGACCCAGGAGTCCAGGCCCCCGGCCCCCTCCTCCCAAGGAACCTAGGAATCCAGGCCCTAGGCCCCTTTCTCCCCAGGGAATGCCACAGTCCAGGAGCAGTCCTGTCCTTCCCAAGGAACCCACTGGCCCAGGGCTCCAGCCTCTCCTTCCATGAAATCCAATCGTGCAGGCCCCAGCCCTCCTCTCCCAGACTCAGGGATCCAAACCCCAGGTTCCCTATTGTACCCCCAGAACCTCAGGAGACCAAGCTACATGCCCGTCCCTCCAGAATTCCTAGGGGTCTTTGCCACAAGCCCTGTCCTTCCCAAAGAACTCAGAGGAGTCCTGGATGCAGTCCTCTCCTGCCCAAGGAAACCATGATTACAGGCCGGGCCTTCTGCTTCAGCCTGGGGTCCAGCCAGGTATTTCCCTCCCAGAGGGAAGTCCTGGCTTCCTGAGTGTCAGAGGGAGGGAACCCCACCTGCCCACCTCCCCTCTTTCCCTGTCAGGCTGTGGAGACTCCCAGCCAGAGCAGAGGAGGACCCGGGGGTGCAGAACCTTCTAGCCTCCCCCTCACTTCTTCCCTCTTCTCCTTGGCTTCTTCTGGCCTCTGGACACTTAGAATGGCAACAGCTTTGGTCACAGAGAGCTGTCACCACTGGGCCCTGAATCCCCAGCTTCTTTGGCACCTCCCACCAAGCCCATCCAACGGGGTGCAGCAGCACCCCCATCTTCATGTGAGCAGGCTGAGCCCCTGAGAGGAGAGCAGCGCCGCTGGCCAGGGTGGGCCTGCCGGCCAGGGTGGGCCTGCCGCAGGTGGCCGGCTCGGCTCCCCCTCCGCCTGGATCCATGTCTACCTTCCTGTTTCTTTCTCTCCACGGCGCTCTCTCACCCCCTCCTCTTCCTCCGTCTGTGTGTTACCTGACTGTGCCCCTCCCTCCCCATGGCCACTGCCTGTGTCCCTCCCTGCCCCTCTGTCGTCTGTCTGTCCATCCGTCCCTGTCTGGCTCCCCACCTCCTCCCCTGTCTCCCGCCCAGCCGGCCTCTCCCTCTCCTCCTCCTCCTCCTCTACCTGCTTCTGCCTCTCATCCTCCCTCCGCAGCCTCCCACCCCCGCTTTGTCTCTCTCCTTCCCCCTGACCCTCGCGGTCCCTCTCTCCCTCAGTTTCGCCCTCCTCTCCTCTCCTCTGCTCTCCTGGCTCCCTCTTCCTCCCCCTTCTTCTCTGTCTGGCCTCCCGCTCCCTCCGCCCATCTCCCAGCCTCCTTCTCTCCCGTTTCTGTCTCTCTCCCTTTCTCTGCCGGTCTCCTTCCCTCCCTCCCTCCCTCCCCTCCCCCACCTCCTCTCCCTCTTTCTCCTTCCCTCTCTCCCTCCCCCTCGCCGCTCCGAGCCAGGTCTGGAGTTGGGGGTGGGGTGGGGGCGGTGGAGCAGGGGCCCCGGGCTGGGGTAGCGACCTGCCAGGGAGGGGAGAGGAGGAGAAGCGGGAAGGGGGCGGGGAGGGGGAGGGGGAGGGGGCCCCCGAGGTCCGCACCGGCCCCTTCCTTGCGGCAGCCTCCCAGACCCTCCGGCGGGGGCTAGAGTCAGGCCAAGGTGGGGAGGAAGGGGAAGGGAGGAGCCCCCCCCAACCTGGCCCGGAGCCCAGGCTCGGGCTCCCAGCATGCCCCGGGGCTGCCTGGGGCCTGGGGCGGGGGGAGCAGAGCGGGGAGGGAGAATCTTCAAGATTCCCGGGACCCGAGCATCCCGCTCCCTCACCCCGTCAGTTTCTCGTGGGGGAAATTGAGGCCCGGAGAGCCGGGTACGGACTCGTTCAAGGTCACTGGACAAGGCGTTGGCGGAACCCTTCCTCTAGGCCTGCTTTGGGGAAGGGGTAGGGGCTGAACTTCCCCCAGGTCTGGGTCCCCCTCCCCTTCTTGGTGGACCCTAGGGAGCCCCCAAGGGTCAGAGAGCAGACCCAAACAGTCTGGCACCATAGCAACCCGCTGGCCCCGCCCCCTTAACCCCTGGAGGGCTGGACTCCAGCTGGGGTGAAAAGGGAGGCGGGGACTCCAGGGTTCCGGGGGAGCAGCCCCTAGTCCAGGAGGTGAGGTGCAAAGATACAAGGGAACCCCGGACTCCTGGGTGCTCCAGGAGGGCGCTGGGGTCCAAGGCTGTGGAGAACACGACCCGGAGGGGGTAGGGCTGCAGTGTGGACTCCAGGGTGCCTGTGAAGAGGCCGGGGGCCCCCATGCCGGGGTCCTGGGGAGACGGCGGATGCCAGAAGTCGGGAAGAGACTGGGTGGTAGATTCCCAGGTCTGAGAGAAGAGATCTGGGGCTGGAATCCCAGGTCCCTAAGGGAGCGCGGCCGCCGGGCCTCTCTCCCGCCAGACATCCCCTGCCCCCGGCGCTGACCCGGGCCTGTCTGGCAGCCCAGACAGCCTCCCCTCCTCCCCGGACCCCTCCCGCTCGCAAGGCTCACCCTTGACCCCTCAGAGCCCCGCAGCCCCATCCCCGCCCCTCCCCCTCCCTGCGGCCAGACGTTAACCCTCTCGCGGCCGGGGCGCCGCCGCAGCGGGACCGCCAGCCTCCACCTCCCCAGAGGTCGTGGGTACCTGGCCCCCAGCCTCCTCCACCCAACCCGGGCCCTTCTCACCCCAAGCCCTGCGCTCTCCTCACTCCAGACTGCCGGAGGTGTTCCCGGCCCTTGCAGCCTCCCGACCCCGGAATCCAGGTCCATAAACCCCTTCTTCTCAGAGTCCGGAGTCCGGGCTCCCGGCACCGCCGCACCCCCAGATCCTCCTCCGGGATCCCAGAAACCCCAGCCCCGAGTCCTGGTCCCCGGGCACCCCCGAGTCCGCACGGCCGCAACCCTCGGCCCAGACTCACCGCCTCCCGCGCTCCCGCGTCGGGCAGCCTCTCCTCGCTGGCGGCCGAGACGCAGGCAGGGCCGGGCCGCGCGTCCTCCTGCATCCCCGCGCCGCGCCCAGCGCGCGCCGCCCCGGCGCCCTCGCCTGTGCAGCCTCCGCTCCCCTCCCCGGACCCCGCGGCGGCCGACAGCGCGGCCTCGGACCGGCCCCCTCCCCGGGGGGCCCCCGTCCGGCCCCTCCCCAGCGCCCGGCCCGGCTTCCCCCCTGCCCCGGAGCTGGCCCCGGTCCAGGGGAAAAAATTCCATCCAGCCCCGGGGAGGAGGCGCGGGGCGGAGGCAGGAGCGGGAGGGGAGGCCGGGCCAGGGGAGCATGACGCAGGGCGGAGGGAAGGGACAAAAGAGAGGCCGGGAGGCGGCGGCAGCCGGCGCGCCCAGTGCGCCCTCCCTCGCCCGGCCCGGCCCGCACCCGCGCTCGGCGGCCAGGCCACCGCCACCGCCTCCCCGCACCGGCTTCCTCCTCCTCCTCCTCCTGCTCCTCCTCCTCCTCAGGCCGCCTCTCCGCCTCCGTCGCCCTCCCTCTCCTCTCTCTCTCCCTCTCTGCCTCGCTCTTGCCTCTGGGTATCTGTCCTTCCTCCCTTCCACCTTCATCCTCCGCGCGCTCTACGGATCTCGTTTCTCTTCCTCCTGCTCCCCATCCCCGTTCTCCCTGCGTATCTCCGGGTCTCCATCCTCCCTCCCTCCCTCCCTCCCTTCCTTCCTTCCTTCCTCCCTTCCTTCCTTCCTTCCTTCCTCCCTTCCTTCCCTCCTTCCCTCACTGGCTTTCCTCTTCCCCCTCTCCTTGCCCTCCTCTCATCCCTTCTCCCGCAGGGTCCTGCTCTCCCTCCCTCCTCCTCCCTCCCTGTGCCATGGTCCCCTCCCGTGCCACTGGGGACTCAAGGTGAATCTGACCCAGATCTGCCCCTGGAAACGTTCTGATGGAGACAGACCCAGCCGCAGAGTCTCCAAATTTGTGTGTGTGGGGGGGGGGGTGTTAGGCAGGGACGGGGGTGGGGGGGGGACGAGGCTTTGGGGCGCCCCGGGAGGGAGGGAGGCGTCCTGGCAGCGGAGCAGACGTGAAGTGAGCCCTGGACCGTAGAGGGGCGGCGGTCGGGGCGTCCCAGGCTGCGGCGGGCTCAGCTTAGGCAGAGGCCGGGAGGGAGGAAACCAAGGTGATTCCGGAGGACAACGGAGCAGTCAAGTCTGCTCCCAGCCGTTGGGCAGCAAGCCGAGGAGTTGGGAGAGGTTGGGGTGAGTGGGCGGGGCCGTTCTCAGCGCGTGGGAGGGAAGGCCCGGCTGGGAACTTGGTCCTGCGCGGGCGCGCGCGAACCACCGAAGGTCGGGGCAAGGATCAGGTCTGAACGTCAGACCTTTCTGGAAGGATGAACCAGGAGCCTAGGATGCAGGGATCCTCTCTCCAGTTTAAGGGCCAGGACTGGGACCGAGAGGAAGGGGTGGGGCCGAGAATGTCTGCAGGCCAGGGCATCTGGGGACTTCTGGAAAGGCCTAGAGGAAGCTGGACTCAGGCCCTGGAGCTGAGGCAAAGGAGTCAGTCCCAGTGGGGCAGTGGGGAGCAGGGAGGGAAGAGAGGGTGCAGGGGGGAGAAGATGCACCCTGCCCCTCCGAACCTAGCGGGCACCAGGTGTAGGAGACATTAGGGAGGACTTTAAGGCTGAGGTGGGTGTGTGGTCCTGGCCTCCAGAGACCCACCCAGTCCTCCCCTTTGGGCACAGCTTCTGCTTAGTAATTTCCTGTGCATCCTTCCAAAGGAATATATATATATATATATATATATATATATATATATGCATATATAATGCCAGCCTCTTTTTTGTTCCTGGGTGGACTCACATTATCCTAAATTTTTTTTTTCAAACACAATATTCTAAAGATTCCTTTATATCCATGCTGTTAGAATGACCTCATTCATTTTAATAGCTGTATGCTGTTCTATTTATCCATAATCAATACAGTTGATTAAGGAACTGGGAATTTTTTTAATAAGCTAGTACGTATACCTATTCAAATCCTCTGCTTCGGGTGTTTTTTAAAAATGGTGTCAGTAATTCCTATAATGGTCTCCTATGACCTATGATTTCATTTTCCAAAGTTTCTGTTACCTACAGTCAACTGTAGCTCCAAAAACTACATGGGAAATTGCAGAAATAGTTCATAAGCAATGTAGTGGCATTTCACGACATCCTGTCTGAGATTTATGCCATCCCTTTGTCAGGTGTAGCCATGCTGTGTATGCTACCTACCTGGTAGTCATTTGGTGCCTGCCTCAAACTGTCAATAGTTACCAGATAGACTGCTGATACACTGCAGGGCTTGGGTTCAAATAATCTTTATTTATTAATGGCCCCAAAGTGCAGGAATAGTGCTGCTAGAATTTTTATTGCAATACATTTGTAATTGTCCTGGTTTTACTATTACAGATATTAATCTGCTAGTGTTCCTAATGTGTAAAGTAGATGTTATCACAGGTATGCATGTCTAGGGGAAACATGCTTTATAAAGTGTTCAGTATGACTTGAGGTTTCAGGCATTTACTGGGGGTCTTGGAATGGATTGCTCCCTAACTTAATCAGGAGAGATTACTGGAATGATTATTCCTCTCATTATTTGCTATGATTATTTGCTAAGCATGGTATCATCTATGGCATAGCCACCTTATTATTAGACAGTTACTGTTTTCACCTAAGGATGAGGAAACTGAGGTTCTCAATAATGAACTTCCCTTTCACAAAATAAGTGACAGAGCCAGGCTTCAAATCCAGGCTGCTCCAATTCTAGTTACATCTTGGGGTGGGGGGTGGATTTCTTTGCAGAGTGTGCCACCACTCAGAATTGGTGCTGGCCACACTGACACTTCACTGTACACATAAATTTACATAAGATCTCAAAGCATCCTGTGTCGGACCCGGAACTGTGCCTTGATGTCTGGAAGGACTGTCAGAGAGTTCACCCCAGGTGCCTGGGGAGGTCAGGAGAGTAACTGTATCACCTGGCTGACCCTTTGTCCTGCCCTGAGCCTGTTGCATTGCGTCGTGATGTCTGGGTCTGTGTCTGTCTCTGGGAATTCACCGAGGGCACAGTCACGGTCTGAGTCATCTCAGTATCATCCAGCGTAGGTATGGTCCAGAGGAGGGGCACAGGATGAAAGTCAATAAATGAATGAATGAATGCACGGGTGAGTGAATATCAAGCCATTGATCCCAAGGCTGGGATTTACTTAGTTCGAGTTAGTTCCTGAAACAAGGCTTCCATTCCCATAAGTTAGTAAGTCACAGGGGCCACTGATTCCATCATTCTGTGACACACAGGACTCCAAATCCTTCAGCACCTAAAACCTGGCTCTTCTAATTTCTGCAAATTCTTGAGATTCAGTACCTGCCATTCCCAACAAGCCTGGAGACAGCAGCCACCACTGGTTCTGGGTTTGACCACTCCCATCACTCCCTGAGAGGTGAGGTTACCTTTCTCATCAGATCCTGGCATGTAAGTGCCACTGTACCTGTCAGAAGCAATCATAACATTCCACTCAGATGACAGAAGCCACCACTCTAAGCACTCCTGACACGTAGGTGCCACTGTGTTTGCTACCAGTTAAAACAGCATTCCAGAGGAGGGTAGAAACTCCCCGCCCTTCACGAGACCATCCCCAAGTTTCTGCTAGACAGAAGGATAGCTAGACAGGACAGCTGCCCCTAGTCTGCCCTGATCTAGGTCTTAGTCAAGGACTCACAGGTTAAAAGTGGTCCTCACAGAGTCATGGCACCCTTTGTGAGGGGTCAAATAAGCCCAGGATAATCCCAGGGCACCAATTATTCCGTACAGGTGGGATAATCCTCAGGTATGTAATAATACAGACCATTCAAATGTAGCAGATGTTCCTATTGCTGTATTAATAACCCAAAATGGTACCTTTTCCCTGGTGGGTTAGGAGCAGATTTTTTGTGATGAATTGGAGGTGGGAGAATGATAAATCTTGTTCCCACTCTAGCTGTTTTCTAGGCAAGGGGCCTGGGGAAAGAAGCGTGACTGTTTGGGGAGGGCTTCCCATACCTTCTCTCTTTGCCTGTACCCCGCCTCCTATTGATCTGAGTTGAGCTGGGTCTGCAGCTGCTCTTCTCTGTATGTCAGTGAAGGGTCTGGAAGGCTGGGCTGAGAAGCAAGGATCCTGAGGTGGGTGTGGTCTTTGCAAGCCTCTCAGCTGCCCTCTACCTCTCCTGCCTCCGGTAAGGGCAGCTTTCCCCCCATGCGGGACCCACTCCTTGGGACTGAGACTGACAAGAATGCAAGAATGTTAGGCTGCAAGCCACAGCATCCTGGCTTCCCCTCCCTCAAAACTTGGCCTGCATCTGTGTCACCAACAGTGTAATCCGAACATTTATCCAGAACCCCAACCACTTGAACTAGAGTGCAAGATTTTACTTTATTTTGCATCTTGATGCCTGGTTTTATGCTTTCAAAACCTTTATACACGTGTTTTATTTTCCAAGAACAGACTAATCTTGTGCATAGAGCCCAGTGATTAAGAATATTGTGAGGCTGGACTGCCTAGTGTGGTCCTGGCTTCCCTGCTTT